ATTACATTTCATCCATTACATTGGATGTGACTGCTGAGCTGAACATATTTTGTATGCTGAAAAGATAAGCTTTCCAGGAAATACCATTTAACAGTATAGATCCCAATTTACATCTTGAGTATAGTCAATAGCTCTACTACAGTTGCAGCATTAAACATTGAAAGAACGATGACAATTCCTTCTGAAAACTTAATCAACTACTCATAGCAACACTATAGTTCTATGTTTTTAGTAATGTCACTAATTTTAATTTTTAGTATTGCAAAAAAGAGAGGCAAAAGTAAAAGGACACTTTACAGAAAATTTCTCATTGGGAGGAAATTATTTTCCAGGTGATACATTTTTCTTGAGTTTTGCTCATTTCAGAAAATCTCCCTTCTGTGTGAATCAATATGGACATCCCACAGAGTTCTCATTAATTTTCTGACTATTCAGTTTATTTTTTAAAAAAGTTTAAAATTTCCCATGAGATTAGTCTTCCCAAGTTGTCCACATCTTACTTTGCATATGCCACAATGTTTGCAGACTGTTGCCCTTCGAGCAAATTCTTTCAACTTTGATTTCCAGAATCTGTTCAATGCTCTGTTCAGTTCATCCATGTCTGAAGTTTTATACCTCTTTATTCTTCTCCTAAGAGACATTGCTGCCTTACAGTTTTCTTAAGAGTTGCTTTCCAGTGGCACTCTCTCCATCAGGATCCATACCAGCACATACAAGGGCAGTCAGCCAATACTTTGTACCTCCATAACAAAATCCCTTGCTTCTTACAAATCTCCTGTGTTTATATGTGTATTTCTCAAATGCTTCATTTTCAGAGGAAATTATGTTGAAATTATGTAGAAGTTTGAGCTGATAATTCATGTTTGTCAGAGTTATTCTTGCATAGGGAACAGTAAAGCTTGAAATGCCTGATCTCAAGGGTTCAACTGGATTTTCAGTCAACATATGTCTATTTCTGAATAGACACAAGCATTACTTCGAAGTATTCCATGTGCTTGTCCATTGTGTTATTTTACAAGTCTTATAGTGACTATATGGCACTACTACTGGGCAGTGTTATGCCAAAGAATTGATGTGCTGGGGAAATATAGTCTGCGCTACATTTTATAGAAGCATGGAAGTTAAATTGTAATTTTCTCTACAATTAAAAACATGCTCTTATTTATGACCATATGTTGCACATGAAACATACATAGCACTATGAACATTACAGTGAACATTGAACTGAAAATCATAGTTGAGTGCAATGACATTTCATTTTTAACTTAAAAGAATTTTTTGCTTGCAACTATCATTTCATAAATGGCAGATAACCTGCTAGTGATTTGTAGATCTTTACCTTCAGTGATGAACTGCAGCATTCAAGTAACCCCTTTTGTTTTAAAAGGCCAGTTAAATCTAATTATTCTATATTCCAGTCTCTAATACTACCACAGTGTTTATACCATTAAAAAGCTGCAGCATTACACTTAAAAAGCCGTCAGATCTTATAAGCAAGTAGGCACGTGCTCTTTGCAGAAAGCTTTTTCTGAGTCAAGATTCTTTTTCAGTTCCTTCACACCTTTTTGAAATATCAGGACTGTGTCATGGGCATGTAAAGGTCAAAGGTTCTGTGGCAAGTCTCATTTGTGTGTGCCTCATTAGACGTAGTGACCTCCAACTGCACTAGGAATCTACTGAGGATTGTTCCTGGACATCACAGGAATAATCTGTTTTGTTGGTTTTTCCTCCTTTTAAGTAAATCAAAATGTAATGCCTCAAATCTGTTCTTTAAATATATTTTCAAAATATAGTTCAAAAACTAGAAGCAAATAAATTACATTTGCCTTAATTTTTAATTAGCTGGAAGTCATCACTGCAAATTGTGTCTTCCATTGCTAAATAGAATAGTCAACTGCCAGGCCTGAAATAATTAAGCAATATATTCTAATTAAGCAATTTAATTTTGATTTAATTATGATATACAACTTTTCTTCTGATTTAACTGACATTCATTGACAAAATGCTATAACATAAAACGGCACTAGTGTTTACAGCTTATGACTCTGCATGTTTTGCTTCATAGTATTTGGCATTCATCAGAGCATATGGAAAAAATCTCTTAGTCTGGAATAGCTGGCATTTTATTTGTTACCAAAATTATGTAGTACTTGATGTTTTTTGTTGTTTTGTGAGGCATTTGGGGAAATACAGATATCTCGGGCTTGAGCCAAATTTATGAATATTAACTAGAATCTTTCCATCAACATTGATCTGCTTTTGGTAGTGAACTGCTCCCAGGTCGTTGCAGGGAAATAGTTAAGACTACATGCTTATGAAATATTTATGGAGACATGTTGTATACATATTCTGTGTCAACATCAACATGATTTTATATTAGGCTAGGGACGTGAGGGCAAGGACAGAAGTGAGGGGTAGGCAGGGAATACCACTTCATTCACTGCTGCATCAATAAAATTACTACAAAATATTCATCCAATTGAGCAATACCAACCCCCTATTTTGTTAAAATGTTTTTCATTGTACAGCAGTATTGGAGTATTGCTTTTGTTATTCAGACTACACTTGTGTGCAAACCCCTTTTTAATGGTAGGAATGGTGAGGGTGATTTCAAAAAAGTTCATTCTGCCTGCAGTCAGGCCTCTGTCTGCAGCTCTTCTACAACGGCAGATTCAGAGAACTGAAGTTGAAGGACAAAAAGCCAATTCTTCTCTTGATTTAGTGATTTGAGAACTCTTAGCAACATCCATGAAAACAATCATGTAAGACAAGAAGGGTCATGTTTGATCATATAGCATGCAGTCAGGTGCTCTTATATCCCTTCAATTTTGATGCATTGTGTTTTATTCCTATGTTGATGTTTAAATTTTTCAGGAAAAGCTCAAAGGCTGAGAGCAATTGTACCCTCAGAGCAATAATGAATGTTTTTTCAAGCCCTTTCTTCCTCTGTTTTCTGAAATTATTCAGATCAGTGATATTTATGATGCAGCAGAAAATCAGAACAATGTTTACAAAACCTGAATAAACATTTCAGCTAGCCTTCCTGTGTTGCAGGAATTTCTATCATATCTTCCCATCTTATCCCACTAGCCCAAAATTCTTTGCTATGTGACTGTGATAGACTGAACCTGGCTGGGTGCCAGGTTCCCACCAAAGCTGCTCTATCCCTCCTCTCCTCAGCTGGACAGTGGAGGGAAAATACATCCAAAGGGTCCTAGATCAAGATGAAAACAGGGAGACATCAGTCACCCATTGCTGTCACAGTCAAACTGGACTTGAATTAGGGAAATTGGCTTAATTTATTACTGATCAAAGCAAAGTAAAATATTGAGAAATGAAGCCAAATTTGAAACAGCTTCCCTCCTCACTCCCTTCTTCCAGGGTTAACTTCCCTCTGGATTTCCTCAGCAGTGCAGGGGAATGGGGAATGGTGGTTGCAGTCAGTCTATCACGCATTATCTCTGCCCTCCCTCCTCCTCAGGGCCAGGAATCCTCACACACTTTCTCTGCTCCAGTGTGCCATGCCTGCCTCCACGAACTTCTCTAATTTGAGTCCTTCTCATGGGGTATAGCTCTTCACAAACTGCTCCAGCACAGTCCCTCCCTCAGGGTGCAGTCCTGCAGGAGCACACTGCTCCAGAGTGGGTCCTCCATGGGGTCACCAGTCCTGCCAGCAAACTTGCTCAGTGCGGGCTCCTCTCTCCATGGGGCCACAGCTCCTGCCAGGACCCTGCTCCAGCACAGCTTTCCCACAGGGTCACAGCCCCCTTCAGGCCTCCACCTGCCCCAGTGTGGGGTCCTGCACAGGCTGCAGGTGGATCTCTGTTCCTCCATGGACCTCCATGGACCGGAGGGTCACATCCTGCCTCACCATGGCCTGCACAGGTGCCTGGAGCCCCTCCTGCCCCTCCTGCCCTGCCCGCAGCACCAGCACGGCTGCTCCTCTCACGTATCCTCACTCCTCTTTCCCTGTAGCTGTTGTCCAGCAGTATTTCCCCTTCTTAAATCTGTTATCCCAGAGGTGCTGCCACCATTGCTGATGGCTCGACCGTGGTCAGCAGTGATTCCAGCCAGGGGCTGTCTGGGACTGTCTCTGTGGGACATGGGGGAGGCTTCTGGCAGCTTCTCACTGATGCCAGCCGGTAGCCACCCCACTATTAACACCTGGCCATGCACACCCAATGCAGCAATATACACTCAAACAAAGGTTTTCCCAAATGCCCATTAAACAACATGAAATTAAAGATATGCTGATGTGGAATTATGCTTGTGACAGCCTCATGGATATTTCAAAATGGCTGCATTTAGACTCCCTACAGATGTTGTATTTTCATGAATACAGTAAGACATCTGAATAATTTAAAAGAATGTTGTCAGTAGCAAGTGTCACACAAAATAACTGGAAGGAAAATTGTCTTCACTTAGTGAAGACAAAAATGCATGCAAATCAATTTCTATTTAATACACAGTTTTAAATAGGAAACAATAGGTTGTTACTTTGACAGGAAATCACAAAGTGTTTTTATTATGTCCTTATCACCTTACTTATTTCATATATAGAAAGTCTGTCCATGATCCACGCCTCTGTAATTCTCACAGAAAAAAATTATGTAAATACATAGAAATTTGCACATAGGGACCATTTATTACCCAATTTGCTTATACTTTCAAACTGAAGAGAAAATGTAAATCTGTATGAGATTTTTACAGAAATTTTGAGGTTTCAAATTTAGCACTTCCAAAGTGCAAACCATTGGAAAAGTGCTGTAAGCAATAAAATTATTCTGGCTGAAATTAACCCTGCAAAATACTTTTCTCTCTTGTCTAATAAATACTTTATGAAGAACCTGAACCTGTATGCAAATGAAGTCTTATTTACCCAGTAAGCATGAGAACCAAGTGATATTATGCCTATTTATTCATTTCTTGATGAGAAATACATTTCAATTATATTACCTTTTGGTTTTTGTTGTTTTTGTTGTTTTTTTTTATTCAAACAGCTTACCCAGGAGTTAAAATGGTGAGTGAAAGTCATCATGAGGCCCTGGCAGCACCGCCAGCGACCACAGTAGCAGCAGCCCCTCCAAGTAATGTCACCGAGCCAGCCAGTCCAGGAGGAGGAGGAGGAAAAGAAGATGCATTTTCTAAGCTAAAAGAGAAATTCATGAATGAACTGAACAAAATTCCACGTAAGTAAAACTTGATTGATGATAAAGCTTCTGTTGGCAGACTAGGTTTAATTTGACATTTTCTGCTTTGAGATTTATTTAGACAGCATACTAAATGTTTTCTAGTCAAAGCTGGAAAAATCGCAAGATTAAAATGGTTTTGCAAGTTCCTCAAAGTTAACTAAAATAGAAAAAAATAGAGTCCAACTCTAATTTATGTCTGTTCTTGGTATGTCAGATTAGCTGAGTAATTTTTACTGATGAATTACTGCTGAATCATTAAACCTGAAGCTAGAGAACTTCATTGTGGCTGTGGGGCCAATAAGTAAAATGTTTCCTATCAGTAACACTTAAGGTTTCATGTTTATCACAAATGTGGGTGGCCATATTGCCTTAAAGCAGTATTTGGCCAGAACTCACACATGCTGAGAAACCAAGGAAACTTTGGATCTTTGGAGATTAGAAAATGTTGAAAGAAATGTGCAAATCGAGTTTTAACAAGAAAATCAGTAATGCATCTGTAATGTATGAAGATAACTGTGCTTTTCCCACTAGTTATTCTAGTAGATCAGCCACTGAATGCTGTTTGCACAAGTTCATGTACCTGTGCCAAAAACATAAAAGTATTAATGTGTATTTCTGTGAAGTTAAGAGAACTAAAGTTCTGTTTTGGTCTTCGGTGCTAGAAAGTGCTGACTTAAAATTGAGGCCTCAATTTGTTCACATGTAAAAAAAAAATACAAGCATTATCTTTGTGCTGTTGTTTATGATAATACTGGGGTTCTTGAGTCTGTCTGATATGTTCTACTGTGCATACGCTGGTATCAAATATAGGACTAATTTAATATTGTCACTGGCATTTCGTATAATACAGAAAAAATCCTTTCTGTTACTGACAGAAAAATTACCTAATGCTACCAGTAGATCATTAGGCACTTCTATAGACAAGAAGGTGAAGGCCCTGTGTGTGTGTTTTAGTAGCAAGCATTAGAAAGTAATTCAATCTGTAATAACTTCTTCTTTACAAGGAAAAGTAAATGTAAAATATTTCCAAGGAAGTATTTTAACATATGTAAGAGATTTTATTTTTAGAAGGCTATCCTTTGTGTAAAGAAATGGTTTGTGACTGATAAAGTCAGATAAAAAATTATAATATTAATCAATTTTTTCTATATCTAAATGAATCTTGGCAGTGTGGCAGATGCAGTTTTTGAAAAATTGGTAGCAAACAGCTTTGCTCTGTCACTCAAAATTCCCATTTGCAAGAATTAAGGTATTACAGCGGTAAGAAGTGTGTGTGCCATTATTTTGGTGATCTTTGCAGTCCAGTGCAGACCATACTGAAATGAAATTGTCTGATGATGTCATGGGAAAACAAAATTAAAGAACAAAAATACAGGAATAAAAAGAAAAAAGAGGGAAAATTAAAAGACGAGACATTGAATGAAAAACAGTCAGAATTTGAAACATTTGTCTTGTAATTTTTTTGTCTCACTATGCTATGTAGATAATGTAGATGAGACTTTTATGTAAATAGCCTCTTATTTTTAAACTTCGATTTTAACTTCGCAAAGGCATGAATGGCTCCCAGTATGAGGAACTCTCTAATTGGTAGGTGTAGGAAAAGGTTTGTAGATAGAGAGAAACTTGGAATGCCCTGCTGCATACTTTTTTAAAACCACAACAAAAACAAGTGGAAAGTCCAGTCTGGAGAGTCTTTTCAAGTTGAAGTGACTAAAACTTCTATTATCTCTTCTTGAAAGAAAAAAAGCCCCTACTGTTACATAATGAAAGTGCTTACTTAGAAAAGTATATTAGATCATAAGACAAATCTTATTTCCTATGAAATCCATCATGTTATTTATAAAATAAGGTACCTTATTCTGGTAGTGACACCAGAATATATTGCCACCATCTTAGAAATCTGGTCTCTTATCCAAGATCATGCAGTACTGTTGTCCTGGAGAAATGAACCTAAGGTAGTCACAAATCCCATGCCAATTGTCTGCCCTTACTATAGAGGCTGCAAATGTGATTGGATCTTCCCAGGGTCTCTGTCAAATGCTGGGGCTATGTAGTGTTACTTTCTGCTACACTGGGGGGGGTTTGCCATTTCAAGAAGAAAGCTGAATGTTCATTGTACTGCAGAGGGGCAAGGGACTTCTGTGGGGACAGTTTTGAAATACTAAATATGAATTAGTGCCATTGATGTATTTGAACATTTTATATTCCAAATAACTTTATTTTGCCCATTTTCCTCAATAATAAATCCTACAAGAGGGGATCGCACTACACACATCTGTATGTATTTTTCATTTATAAACTAACATAAACACAAAACAAGTAACTTTAATTAGGCTATCTAAAAAATATTGGGGATGGGAGGGCAGAGGAGACCTCATTTCCCTGTTGGAAGATTATACCATTTTCTCATGAGTGGTTCAGTTCATGCCAGTGGTAAGTTGTCAGTGTGGTGTTTTGAGCCTATTACCAAAAAAATGTAATTGTGCTAGAAAAGTTTTCAGGACTTACCTCTTACAGCTGGCTGCAAATTATTTTTTTTTTGAATCTTTCTTAGAGCAGAATATAAATTAGTACAAACCAAATTGCTTGTATACTGCTTTTTTGGGAATTTCTTGGTGTGTGAGAGAAGAAATATGGTGCATGGGCCCCATTGGGGACAGCAGAGATGCTTGGAAGTCTAAGGCCACTCCCAAGACCATGGACCACGTTTTTCCTCTGGTAGATTCAAACTGAGAACCTGATTTAAGTCTTAAAACTTGGCAGTGGAATGTCATAGTCAGCAAGTTCTCTAATCTGTTCAAATGAGGGACAAGCCTCTTTTTTACTTCACTTGCTTTATCATTTTTACTACCAAAGGTCTCGTGTTCATCCCCACATGACAGGAAAGACTTTAAAATCTCAGTGTTTATTATGAGAGGACCTTTTTTCAGTGCTCTGTTGTTTATGTGTGAGATAAATAATTAAATGTTTTAGCTGCCTCTGCTTATGATGTCTGCAGATGGAAAATAAGCTGCCATGATGGAGTGGATATATATAAAATGGGATAAAGTGTTGTGAAAAAGCTCACTTCCAGTCAACGTGGTTTGAGTGCTAAAAAGGCCAAGCCGTAGTAGGGCCTAATTTATGTAGTCTTCTCTTTCTGTTTTATCTTAGAAATTATATAGTATCCAGTCATGCTTAAAAGAAATTACAACATTCTAATCATGGAATACATGATAACAAAAATAAAGGTACATCCAGCTGAATAAATACTGTTCCTTCCATGTAGCTTAAAATAGAAAATTCATTTTTTGGAGTACTAAGTTTTGTAGAACACACCGATGTCAGAAGTTAAATAGCCTAAATGTGCCAGCTAACTGAAGATACCAGAATTCCCATTAAAAGTTTGCTTTGCAAAACTACAAGATAAAATTCAATTTAAATTAATGCAATTTAAATTATACTGGTATTTTCTTCTGTGATGTATGCACAAGACAAGTCTTATTAAAAAAAAAAGATTAATTTAATAGAATGAGGAAATAAAAGTTCCAAGAAAAAGAAAGGACCTATTTGTATCAGTATGCATTTATTTCAAGAACATTGCTGCAGAATGTAAACCAAGTTATAATTTTCATTGGTACAAGCAGAAAATCTGGAGGCTTTTTCTTGATTTGTATCTCTTTAAAATAGAGCATACACCACATTTTGTGACAGAAGAACGTAGGCTTCCACAAGCACACACATCATTCAGAATGGCAATGTCCTAACATACATTTCACTCTGGATAAAGCAAGTGGGATAATTTCATTACAATGAGTCATACAATTAAAGTGCAAGAACCCAGTAAGTTACTGAGGCATAACTGTGAGGAATTTTTTTCTCCGTTATGTAAATCCCTGCATTTTGGTTGTGAGTGGCTGATTTGCATAATCACAGTACAGTTGTTTTTCCAGAACTGAACTGTGCATAAATGTCACTCTAACTTAATTGGTTCTTATACTTTCAATCCCTATTTATCTTTAATCTGCAGAATTTTTAATCTGTTTACCAGAAGGTGAAAAAAGGCACCATCTCTGTTTTTACATTTTGCATTTTACATACAGTAAATCCATCAACTGAAAAAAGGGGGGAAACAGAGCAGATAAAACAGCACTTACTGTTCTGAAAACAAAATTCATTAAAAGATTTTATAAGATCTGTCAGTTCTTTCCTTCTTCCTTCTCAGTGCTCTTACATCTGGATCTTTGTCTACAGGCTACGAAAATCTCTGCCATACATTTACAGTAAGTGTGTTGTAACAAGACTGTGGTAATGGCAGCAGCAGCTTTTGGGTGGAGACTTTAAATGTCAAGATACTGATACTAGCCATACACAAATAAAAGTTGACATAAATTACCATTAGTTACTTAATAATTTTAAAATCAAAGTGTTGTTGATATGTTTTCTAATGGCACATTCCTGTATGAACAGGAGACCTCATTCTGCCAGTAAACAAGACAGCAAAAATCCAATAAAATTACAGCATGCATCTGATTGAATAATGATGTGCTGTTAATGCTCGTGGTAAAATCTAGAGCAGCTATAATCGCTGATTGCATTGAATCCAGGATAGTGTCATTACCTCTATAATAGAAAGATACTGCATATTTCCAATGCTCGTTGCTCTCTTACATTGTAATTATATAAAAAGTTATATTTCTATACAAACCCTATTCTGAAATGTTTGGCTGGCTTGCCACTCCATTTGGCCTCAGTAGCTGGTGCTCAAAAGCCCTGTATTTGATTCATCTTGTTCAACTGACTGCTAATCCCACAAAACCAGAAGCTCAAATCTCTGTGATAGTTCAGGATAAAACCTGATGCTCTGTGCAGACTTCTCTCACATTCTGTTTGCAGAGAAAGTTTTATTTCCCTCTCCTTGAACTGGTGAATAACTGTCAAAACAAAATGGGACTGGAGGCTATAGAGAGAACTGTAACAAAAAAATGTAAAATTAACTGTAAGACTCAGGTCTGGTT